TCAATTTTTTCAGGATTTGCTTCAATTCCTCGCTGGTTAACCATGTATCCTAAGAACTTGCCGGAAGCCACCCCGAAGGCACATTTCAAGGGGTTGAGCCTCATCCTGTACCTTCTCAGGATTTGGAAGGTGTTGTTGAGGTGCGATACGTGGCTTTCTGCCTCTAAGCTTTTCACTAGCATATCATCCACGTAGACCTCCATTGTCTTGCCAATGAGGTCGGCGAACATTTTGTTCACGAGTCTTTGGTAAGTTGCTCCGGCATTTTTCAACCCGAAAGGCATCATTCTATAGCAATAGAGGCCTCGATCCGTGATGAAAGAGGTGTGCTCCTCATCAGCCGGGTGCATGGGGATCTGGTTGTATCCGGAGTATGCATCCATGAAGCTCAATAACTCGTGCCCAGTCGTGGAGTCCACAAGCGGAAAACTATCTTTCGGGCAAGCTCTATTAAGGTTGGTGAAGTCGATGCACACTCGCCATTTGCCATTGGGTTTCTTAACCAAGACCGGGTTGGACACCCACTTCGGGTAGGTGGCCTCCCTGATGAAGCCATTTTGGATTAGTTTCTGAACCTCTTCCTTCAGGGCCTCATACCTCTCTGGGTTGAGGGCTCTCCTTTTTTGTCTATGCGGGGTAAAATTGGGGTCGATTTTCAAGTGGTGACAGCTGACTTTGGGGTCTATGCCAACCATGTCCTCATGTTTCCAGGCGAAGACGTCCAGGTTCTTGCCTAGAAAATCTTTAATCTTTTCTCTCAAAATGTCGGATAAGCCCCTGCCTACTTTCAGCACCTTGGACGGATCTCGAGGGTCGGCTGAGAAGCTCTCAAGTTCCTCTACGGGGGATGCTTGGGGCTCATGTTCCATTATGCGGGGGTCGATCTCATCGATCAGCGCCTCCTGAACGAGGAGTGCGTCAATCATATCAACATCTTCCTGGTCAGTGGGAGCGTCACCTGGGACATCCGTCATAACCACATCAGCCATGATCACATGGACGTCTCGGGGCTCCACCTTCTTAATGGAGCTCAGATAGCACTCTCGTGAACCTCTCTGGTCGCCTCTCACTGTTGCCACCCCATTTTCTGTTGGGAATTTCATGCATAGGTGGTGGATGGAGGTGACTGCTCCCAATTCCTTTAGGGCCGGTCTGCCCAAGACCCCGTGGTAAGCCGACCGGCTGTCGACTACGAGGAACTCCATAAAGTTCATC